GCAAGGTTAGAGAATTAAAAAAAAAAGAAAGTTAAAAGGTAATAAGTAATAATGTTTTAGTTTTTGGCTGCCTACTAGGGTCTCCGTTTTTGCTTCATCAACGGAAAACTAATGGCCAATGTGAAAATAATATAAATAAATATTTAAAAAATACACATGCTTTATAACATTTGTAAAATAACAAGTATTTTTCTGAATTAGAATTTTTAAAGAAGTTAGCTGCCTTCTAATATAAGAGTTAACTCTTGAAACTACTGATCATGCATGAAATATACACCTGAGCTCAAGAATGAGCTACCCTACACCAGAGCTCAAGAATTTGCACTTCATATGATTTCCGAATGATACTGAGTAAACTTGGTTTCAAGTAAAATGAATGGATATTATTTACATACTCATTAAACAAGAGTAACACACCAATTAAACAAGAGTAACACTTGTTACAGTTTTTAACTCTGACATTCTTTTCATGACATAACTTCTTTTGCCGACGATTTTGTCAGTTTTTTATTATTAATTTAAGCCAGTTTACGCATTCTTGTAATTTTTGCATTTTATATTTGAAATTTTAAAGTCGAATGACGTGCATGAAGTGACCCCTTGTCCAAAGAATCTAAGTTAAATAGTTAAAAGGCCGATTATTACGAAAACAATTAACAACTCCTGTTTAATGAAACAATTATAAATGAATCATTAATATTCCTGTTTTTTATTACGAAATATTAGGAGAAATTTGTGTTCATAATTTCTTCAAAACGTATGTTAAAACTATTATTATAAGTTATTTAAGTAGAAAAAAGTCAAATGGAGGAAAAGAACAATTTTTAAGCTGATAATTCCAAAAATAGCACGTTTTTCGAATCTTTTTTTCTATTTTAGTAGTTGTTTAACAAAACAAGGCATATCAAACATTTTCCTAATATAGCAATATTTTTTTGAACTGTGTAAAAGTTGAGAAATCATATAAATAACTTTTAAAGCAAATATTTTCAACTTTTTAAAACAAAAGGGTAACTTTCTTTAAGTTAGAGCACAAGAATAACTTAGAATGTCGAAATAAAATTGTATGTCCATAATTTTTTGTTAATTTAAAAAACAAAACAATCTGGTGTATTTTTTCGCTGTGCACACATACGCATTTACTTTTCATTACTCGAATAAATAAGAAACGATAAAAAAAATAAAATTAATAATTTAGCTTCATTTTTTGTAAACAATAGTATTCTCAGTAAATAGTCAGCTGTTCTGCATCGAATGATATTGTGTGTGATCAGTGAAATGTTTTTAATTTCTTAACAAAATTTAATTCTCAGATAGCTTGCAATAAGTCTAAGTTTTCTTTCAATAGGAACTTAGCAATAATTTAAGAAGTAATTTTATTTTAAAGGGAAACATAAATTAAAGTACTAAAACGATTGATTAGTATATTATTGGAAAATAATATAGATGGTAGCACAAAAAATAAGATTTTGAGTTAAAAATTTAATTAAAAAGTTAGAAAAATAATTCTGCGAAACAAGCGCAGACAGATAATTAGAGTTTATAAATTTATTTTAAGATTAAGGCGATATATAAGATTTTTAAAATCATTACAAATGCTGACTACGTATTTTTATTAATATTTATAAAATATATTTTCAAGAAATTGATAAACATATTATTCCAAATTTATGCATACGTATGCATATTTTTGAAATTGTATCAGTTATTGAAAAACAAAATCGAAAAATAACAAATAATCACATTAAATAAGCACAATTTGGCGTATAATCATATTCTATCAAATGCACTCTTTTATAAAACTAGACAATCGTTGAATAAAGTATTTTTTATTCAAAATATTTTGTTCAAATTTCTTTACTAAATTGCAAATAAATTATTAAACGACTAAAAAAGAAGCATCATATTTTATAGTTTAAAAGAAATAAAAATAAAAAAAAGATTAGCAAACGATTATTAGCGAAAAAAATATAAATGAAATTTTACGCTAAGCGCGCGAAGTCAAGTTCCTCGCAAGTTTATCACATTTTAATATTAATCGCCCCATTTAATTATTTCTTTATTGTCGCCAAATTATTTTTTTAAAAATAATTAATTTTAATTTTTCTCAGCTTCTAATAAATAAAAACAGTTGAAACTTTAGATTTTTCAATTGAAAAATATGTAGATTAATATGGTATAAAAAAATTCATACCTTATAATTCCAAAAATTTTCCATCCTTAATTTAATTAAATAATAATTAATAATTACTAAAAATTATTTTTTTCATCAAATTATCTTTGGGTAAATGAGTTTTATGAATGGGTGTAATTTTCTTTGAATTGCTTTATTAGTTTTAAAAATATGACTAAAAACGTAAAAAGCGAAATTAACATTAAGGGGTACGAACTTTGGATCACTCTCCTAATCAAACTACGGGGACCATATTTCCCAGATTGCGGCTACCCCCTATATTTTGAAGGTTAATAATCCAAATATGTAAAAAAAAATACATGCTTATACAGAGAAAGTACGTTTTTGTGTCTAATTTCGTAACTTAATTAATAGTTGGGACTAATTAATTAGCATATTTGAGGTCACCCCCAGGAACCATTAAGATTAACACTTAGTTCGTGAAAATCCGATCATTAGAACGAAAATTATTCAGGGTGATTCTTTTTTTTTTTTTTCCGACTGTACATTTTTGTAAACAACATGATTTTTCTTTTCTCTGTGAGATTTTGAAAGAAAAATGTGTAGAAACGTCTGAATCTAAAAAAAAAATGTATTTGTACAAACACTGTGTTCCAATCTGCTTTGTTTTTACTTTTTATCATGGATAGTATAATACAGTAAAATATATCAAATTAATCAATCTAGTAAGTTGACCACCTGTTTAGTTGTCAAGGGTGGTTTTAGGAGGGCTATTTGTCAAGTTCTCAAGTAAGTTAACAAGAACCGTATTTATTCCAGGTATTAAAAGCATGTAAAATCTTTGTAACCTCATCACTTTCTTATGTTGAACCCAAAAATAAGTCAAATTTGTCTAGGAAAGTTATTCTAAGTCCTAACTAAGAAAAGTTCTGAAAAAAGACATTAGTTTACGATTCGAAATGTACTCATTTGATGAAATTATATAGAAAGATAACCTATACTTTTTTGTGAATTGATAATATAGAATACTATTGCGGGCTTTTGTAACTAGCTGGATTTTAAATACATATAGCAACATCGATGTTGAAATTAATACAATGTCAAAGTTTTGTGGGGTATGTTTGAATATGAACTATGTCAACCTTCGTCTATCAAACAGTACCTCTATATAGAATCGAGTATACAAGTCTTACATACTACTGAATTGTGCTGTTTTATTAATTGATTGTTTTATTTACATCATTTAGCTCATTATTTTTCTTTTTCATTTTTATTTATTAGCCGAAAGAAACTTATTTACTTCATCGGATTTTTGACCGCTATTTTGTGTACAAATCAACTGCTTAATGGGGACCATTTATTGAAGATGCCGATGACGGATCACGTCTGGAGGTCATTTTTTATTTCTCAATAGGTACCACTATATAAATCGAATCAACAAGTTTTATATACGACTGAATTGGTATTTAATATTATTAGTGGTAGTTATATTACATTTTCTTATTACATTAGGTACTAGCGTACAGATATTTTAAGAAATTTATTTCTAATAAGTACCTGGCATACATCACTAACAAAATATACGTATTTTGTTTTTAAACAAATTTGTTTAATTATAAATTTATGTCACAAATTATAATTCATTCCGGTAATTAATTTCTTAGGATACATGGGACATTTGATTAAAAATTATTTAATGTCATAAAAGAAACTAAAAGTATCTTTATTTTGATTGGTAACAGGACCAGGTAAGATATAGATGCATAACAACAGCAACGTGAAAAATATAAAAATAACATAACGTGTTGCTTTTATACTCTTCCAACAAAACCATGTGAAAAAAGATTAAAAAGTTTTGAGAAAAAAACTATTTTAATACTTACACACATGAATAAGCTATTTTATTTAAAATAAATATTAAATTTAAATGTTGAATTCTCTTTTCAAGTACAAGAAGTATAAAGTAACTGATTCGGAAGTTTAACAAAAGATAAAAGTGATTAATTAAAAAACTACATTCGGCTGATGTTTCAGGATCGAAAAAAATTGTTTTAGGCATTTAGCTTTCTAAACAGCGAAAAAAAATCTAAAAAAAATCTGTGAAATATGCAATAATTTTAAAAATAGCAATTAATTAAAATAAATGATAAGCGTGAGCAATTTGTGCAGCAATTATTCTGCTTTGAAAAAAAGTTTTGAAGTTTTTTAAAAAANTAACTTTAAAGGTTATTGTTTATGAGTTATTATACTTTTAGTTTAAAAAAGAGCGATATTGAAAATTTTTGCACACTCGTAGGTTGTATTATCATTACAATGTAATTTTTTTTTCAATTAGGGCACGTACATGATCAGATACATAAACCAATTTAATTTAATTTATAATTATTTTATTTTATATTCGATGCTGAATAGCCAATTTAATTCTGAGTCTACGACTATCACTACTGAACTCCATAGCCTTCTAACTTTGTAACTAATCCACATGTGCGTTAGATGGAGAGGAAAACCGCTAAAATATCGCCGTGATTGCACGCTGAGAAAGGGATTCTGACCCGTCTACCACTGAGATTATTTTATATCAGTACTGTGGTTGGTGCGATCAAGGAGCAGGATTTTCATCAACCAGCAGCAGCTGGGACTCGAACTTGGTCACTTCATTGGGAGAAACAACATTTCCGATTTATAAGGGAAAAAAAGTAAATAAAATACGAAAAATGCTCTTTTTCCGAAGTTAATAAGAAAATACTGATCTAATTCGCATTTCAATTCAGAAAATGTTATTACCGAAAATAAATTTTCACATTAAAAATTATTTTTTAGTTTTTCATAATAATTCAACTATATATAGAATGGGGTAAGTACTTACCATTATCATTTCCAATAGCAAAACTTGTCATCCTTACAGTTTAAACACTTAATCACGTGCCTCTGAATACACTAAACTATATTTCCTTTCTTGGGGAGCCTTGCACTTATAAGACTAACTCCCTTACATTTCAGAGCAGTTCATTCTTAAATGCATATGTTGCCAATTCATCAATGTCGAATACGAATTGTTCACTTCCTTGAATAACCACACCCTTACTAACTCTCAAATGAATGGTTTCTTATCTACCTTTTCTATTGCTGCATTCCAAAGCAGCAATACTTGCTTGTAAAATCACATTCATTCTGAATACTTTTGAGAAGAAGACCTGGGGAGAATCTTTTCATTTCAAATTCTCAGATAATTAATTATTATTTGATTGTGAAATTTTCTTTCGCAAATTAAATACAAGAAAAAAATAGTAAAATAATTAAATTTATAAATCATGGAATTCAAAAAAAATTAACTTTGAATAAGAAATTAAGATTCCTTTCAAAGTTAAAGTTCATTTAATTTAAATTTATTAACTACATTTGAATTTTATTTTAATATACTTTATTAAATGAGTCGTTTAGTATTTGACTGTGTAATTTATTATTTAATCTTAAATAGAAAAAATTAATAATAGCTATCAAAACTAGTTAATTTTAAAACTATTTGCAATATGTAGAATAAAACTAAGCAGCTTAAAATTTGGCATTTGATGACATATAAAAATTCAAGTAATATTTATATAGAAGCAAAATTCGCTAGCAAAATACGAATAAAAAAATGAAAGGTAAAAGGACAAAAAAGAACAGAATGAAATATCCAATAAATAATTTTGCTTTTTTATATTTTAACCGCTTTAAAGATAGAAATATCATAGTTATTGTTCCAATTCCATAATAAATGATAAATAACGTTTAATGTTAGTTACTTATCTGGATTATTCTAAAATAATTATGAATTCGAATTTATTAAAATTATATAAGAGATAAATTTTTTTCTATTAAAGTTAATACAAAAATTTATCATAATTTAAAGCTTATCATTAATTTCAGTATTTGTCTACTTGAAGTTTTGTCCTGTCGAAGTTATGTTCACCCGATTCTTTGCACTCGCGAAGTTTTGTCCGGAGAAGATTCGATCGTAAAGGTCTGACAAATTACCTTTACCTCAATTAGCGTTAGCGAATCAAAATCATATCTGTTAAAATAGCGAGAAAAATTTTAATAATGCAAGGAATAATTTCGGTCCCATTTTCAAAAATTTATATAAAAAAATAACGTATCTTCCATAAATAAAAAAAATAAATAAAACATTTTACACTAAACCCCTCCTTAAGAAATACGTCGTACTCAATATCCTCTCCTTTTTACCTCAATTCACAAATCTGAAAGGTATCTGTTAAGAAATCAAGAAACAGTTTCATCATGAAAGGAATCGTTTTTGCTCCTTCTATGAAAAAAATATTTAAAAAAATCTCTCACAAAAATAAACGTTTTTATTAAACACCTCCTAAAAAAGAAATAAGTTCCACTCAATATTCCCCTCCATATATATATATATATATATATAATAAATAATTACAAAAAGAACAAAAAAACGGAAAAAGTAAAAAATAAATCGGAGAAAAAAAAAGAAAAGAAAAAAATTTCCATTAAAAAAGAAAGAAATGGAACAAAAAAAATAAGGCAATTCCGGAAAACAAAAGATATAATCTTTTCATCATCTCACACGATTATATCCGAAAAAGGAATGCATTCCAATATTGTTTCAATGTAGCCAAAACGAAATATATCAATACAATAGTGTGAGGAGCACTCAAAAAAATTTTTTTGAAACCAATAGAATAGAACACATTAAGTAATAAATATCCCGTGAAAACAGACAATAAAAACTGCAAAGAAACCGAACAGAACAGAACAGTGGCATTCTTTTACATTTTTTTACGGACTTTTTGTTCTTTTTTTTTTCAGATTTTCATTAATTTTTTACTTTTTCTTTTTTATTCTGTAATTTTTTACGTGCTTTCTCTACATTTTAAACACACACACGCGCGTGCGAGAACGCAGACACACACACAGCAGGGTTAGACTGTATATATATA